TACATACTATGGACAAATGTTTTAAAACATTAACTCAACATTACATTAGAGTAATGCGAGGGGTGAGATCAAATATCAGATGTTTACACATCTACGGGATTAAGCCACAGTTTGATCTTGAACTGTCAAATGTAAAAAAAAGTCTATTACATCACCTTCTCATCGCCTGCCTCACCCTGACATCATTGTGGGATTGGACGCTGTCTACCGCCCTGACTGCTACGCTGACCGGTGCACTCTCTGCTATGCTCACTTCTGGTGGAGTTGGAGTCGCAGACAACTCCCTGGCTATTAATTGAACTAAAGCCCGTGCTGCTACCTCGACCCGAGGCGTTACACCCTGTCGAACAGTCAATTAATTTTCTCTCACATTCACTTCACTGCAACATTTTACTTGGTAGCAGAAGCACATAATAAGAATGGGGGATCGTTAGACCGTTAGACAGACAACGCTAGTTAATGTTAGCTTATGGAGCTCAGCTACTACAACACAGCTAACCAAAACAGTTCTATATAATTCTCGAATTAAACAACTAACAACTAAGCAAAACCAATCCTTCATAATTTAGGAGTATTTCATAATTTAAACATAATTTACACTTGGAGCGGGAGGCGCGCGACCACCAGACGCCATTTTAAAGATGACCTCTGACCTATCAGCTCCGGAGTCCGGACTGCGCAAAATGCGTAAATGAAGTGCTACGTCACGAACGCAAGAAATCCTACCCACGTGGGGGCGCGCTCATGTGATTGGCTTAGACTGGAGGAGACATCTGATTGGCTATAGATGAGAGAAATTACAAGTACGAATCGGGTGACCGTCAGGGGAGTCTCAAAAAACCCACACACGAATGCACAGCGATCCGTGCACAGAAAGCTGTTTGTGTTTGAAGGTGCAGCGGTTGTAAACGGAAAACTAATATGTGTGGATCAAAAATACACATGTAAAACTTTTTTCTGTGTTTGGATTTTATTTACATGTATATGAAACGGAACACATTTGTGTATGCATTGAAAAACACAAGTGTGGATCCGGAAATACAAGTTTGAATCCTTTTGCGGATCATGAAATACAAGTGTGAATCCTTCTGTGTGCATGTGTGTATTATGAGACTGTTCTGAGCCCATAGCCAGCAGACATACTGCATTGCGTGCAAACAGAAAAATATGTTTTATTTTTCCTTTTACACGGGAGTCCGGAACTAACAAAGTCCAGTACGGGACACGCCCCTTTGGGCTCAAATACGGGGCGTCCCGGCTAATACGGGACGGTTGGCAACCCTAAGCCTACCTGTAATCAGGGGCGCCGTAAGGGGGTGAAAAGTTAGGACGATTCTAAGGGCCCGTGACTGACAGGGGCCCCAAACATTTTTAGAACATTAAGAAAAAATGTCTAAGTAACCTTTCATCAATCATCAATAATTAACATTAATTTAACGTTAAATTGATAATGTACTCACTAAACTTACGATTCATTTAACTTTTTTTCTTCCAAAAGTTAATTATCCAAAGCCTCTGTACACCCCCCTCTATTTACATGTAATGGTTTGGTCCTGCCTCCAAACGCTGTGTGGCACCACTCTTTCTAGCAGAGAGTGAGAGCATGTGAGAAGGGATGCTATAGTTACGTGAGTGCGATGTCTCAACGACTAACAAAGTCAGGCTTTCAAAAAAGAAAAGAAAGGAGAGAAAGACAAGAGAGAGGGACTAAAGGGCGACAGCATGTCACCCAGTCTTTCAAAAGAAAAGGTGGGTGTGGTCCATGAGTGGTGGAAATTCAATCAATCAATCAATAAACAACCTGACATTGGACAACTGCCTACAGTTGTGCAGGGCTACAGAATTGTCACGTGAAAATAGTAGAACCCTTGCAAGACATACAGTGGAGGAGGTGCACATGATGAAACAGACAGCATGGCAGGATAAGAACACAAACACAGTTTCTTGCAAATTCTGTGGTATTACACATGAAAGTACGGAGGCCGGCAGGTGCAAACGCTAAACAACGGCCAAAAACACACACATAAGCAGGAAACACCTGCAAATAATGAAATGAAAAACCAACAAACCCTGAAAACACATACAACAGAAAAACGCTGCATTTACAGAAATGATGCAAGCTAAACCTACAACACACAAACCCCGAAAACAAACGCAACAGAAAAACGCTGCAAATACAAAAACGATATGCAAAGTCAAAAGCACATACAACCGAAAAACACATTACAAAAAAAAAAGACATTACAAAAAAAAAACATTCCGGAAGTGCTTCAGGCCTCTAGGGGGCGCGCTACGTGGAACAGATTGATGTATGACCAGACATAGAGAGAACGAACAAGAGGAAATAAAGTTCATTTAAGTGGAGAAAGATATAAGAAGGTAAGTTTTGTTTTGTTTTTATACATAGAGCGTCATATTTACGTAGCTAGCGTTAGCGTGTTTGATCAAAGAGTTTGCAAGAGCCATTGTGCACCTAAATGTAACTCTTGACATAATATAGATATAGTATAGAACCGGGACGCCCCTCCCTACACGCAGATCACACAGACTGGGTGGGGTCTCACGCCCTCACCTCGTGGAGGGGGCCTCAACTGAGCCGCAAATGCGATGCGGTGATAAAAAGGAAATCAAATGTAAAAAGTTGAATTAAAATATTAAAACAGCAACACAACATTATTCCCACATTAAAAGACAGTCTGAAGAGGTGTGTTTTGAAGGTCGGTGCAGTCTCTGATGTTTAATGGGAGTCAGAGCCCTAGAGAGATAAGAGTTACGAAACTCCCATAGACCTCCGTTGTAAAAAATGGCGGCGCCTACTTGCGGGGTATGGACATCGAAATAGTTCCAAATATTGTCATTTGGGCGTTGAACCTCATTCACTTACATTACGGCGCGTCGATTAGTTCCAGAGGTAAGTTGCTGAAATATCGAACTCTTTTGAATTGTCAACTGTCTATATTGTATCAGAGGCCCTTTATGATGCTTATACTGGTCTTCATTTGTATATGCACAGCGTAATTATCTATATTTTATCTTGGTTGTTACAACCAATTTAGCTAGCATTGCCTGCTAGTTAGCTAGCGCGACTTCGTCAGCTTTGAAGGTAATATTTCAGTAATGAATCGCTAGCAGCTTATATATCAATGATGCTGGGTAACTAACAAGCAGGATTTAGATTGATTATGTGTTTTTATTGTTATTTTGGTTTTTATCTGCTGAACCTGACCGTGTCAGCCATCCTTAGTCGGTTTTTTCTGTATGATATGACTTAACTGCTAGCACTAGTAGAAATGAGGTGGCGTTTGTGATAAATATTTCATTTAATATTTCATTGAATTTTGGGATATAGCCTACTAACATTTCATTATGTGACATGTTGACTGTACTTTGTTTTTTGTTGTACTGTTCCTTGTTAACTCATCTGTACTGTACAACTAGCCTAGCGCTACTTTTTAATGCTTGATGGCATGCTAGGATAGATTCCTTTGTATTGTAATATACACACTAGTTTAATGATTGTTCTTCAAAGGTATTATTCAGTCTTAAACAAATAATAGCCTACTGAATAGGCTACTCTACAGCAGTGAATGAAGGATGAGCCTAAAACATGGTCATGTAAAAATGTAAAACGTATCTAAGTAATAGGCTACCAAGCTTTCCGTTGTCACCCTGCCTCTCCAAATGCAAAACTGTCAATACAAAGTATGCAATAATGCAATTACAGCTGAAAAAGTACTTGGGTGTGTGTGTTTTTTTAATATATATATTTACCATTCAATAACGCAATCGCTGCTGTCTGTCTGTCCCATAGAAGAACATGACAGCGCAGCGCAACTATACTACCGACGTGACTGCCCTGGCAGTGACAGCAACATAGCCTGCTTGTGCTACCACACTTTCTCCTCAAAATATCGTTAAATAACGAAACTTATAAATAGTGCCAATCCATACAAAGTGTAACCACATCATGTAAATATGAAAGCAATCTTTAAAAAATAACAGCGTTGGTTTAATCTATGACAATTTTGACCATGTTTGTGCTGTTTTTGCCATAGAGAAGCATTGCAACGGAAGTGCGTTTTGAACTATCCCGGCATACATAAACCACGTGACCGGCTGGCGGCGACATCAAAGAGTGTCGTAACTCTTATCTCTCTAGGGCTCTGATGGGAGTGAGTTCCAGAGGGAGGGAGCAGCGATGGAGAAAGCTCTGTCCCCCCAGGTTCGGTGCTTGGTTTGTGGGGGTATAGACAGGAGGTTGGCTTCTGATGAGTTAATTGAAAGACCGTTCTTTAATACTATTATAATATGTAGGTTGCCGAAAAATATCCACTCTTTTTGACTTAACCTAGCTGTCCTACATTTTATTTCTCCACAGATGTACTGTCCATTCTGTGGTTCCAGCGTGACATCTTCGCATGGCTTTTGTGGTGTCTGTGGCAGAGACATCACATTTCTAAAAGATGTGACTAACAAAGTCCCTGAGGAGATGCCCACCACTAGTGCGCATCTAAGTGCACAGTCTAGCACCAGTGCAGGTAAATAGGTTGTTCGTTTTATTACCAAACAATAAGTATTTATAGAAAACTTGGTTTAAAAGTTCGAATTCTGTTATTATACAAATACATCTCTAAACTATGTGGCTTACCTACTGTTGAATGTGTTATAAGATGTTCCTCAGAAGGGATTGAGGATGAGACTCCTATTGAACATAATGAAGAGTAATGAATGTTTTATTCCTGTTTTTTTGTAGCAGGAAGCTCAGCTGTAGAGTCCTTTCAAAAATATAGGGAAATAAAAAAGAGGGAGAGACCTTTTTTACAAAGTGACGGCATAACTCCAAAAATAAACAGAAATTGGTGAAGGTATGCAACGTTTTCTATTATGAATACATCTGTCATTCAAATCTGCTCACCACACTCTCATATAATGTCCGAATTTTTTTTTTTATTCATTTGCATATTATTGTCTTTTTGCAGATTTCTGTTAGAGTAATGAGGAGGATGGATGGCTGCCTTAAACCTGTGAGAGGGAGGTCACTTCCCCTTAATGTTGAACCTCAATGGGCATGTGAAGAACTGTTGGCTGCTGCCATAAAAAAGCAGAAAGCCTTTAACCAGGACTTGGAAGATGGTGCCCATGTCTTGTTGTACCCTGATGCGAGGGTGATAACAAATATCCCCGGAACGGACACCCCTTTCACAGTACAGATGTACAAAGAGGCCATTGGAAAGCCCTACCAACGAATTACGTTGTACATCTGTACTCTTGAAGCCGTTGAAAACAGTTGTAAGTGCTTCTGACATATATTCCCCCTTGTTTAAAGCACTAAACTGTATAATAGTTCAAATGTAAACATAACAGTTGTTCTGTCTATATTTCTTAACACAATTCATTCCACCCATCATTCCTTTCTCTTCGTGGTTGAACTTATGACGTCAAATGGTCTTTTATGAATAGTGGCAGAAGAAATCGAATTTAAGTATCAACAAAAGCTTCCAAACTTTCCTTCTGTTCAAACTAAATATAAATTCCCTCTTAAGGATTGTAATTCTAAATTAACCTTTTTTCTCACAACAATGTTGGTTTGTTGTGCCCTAAATCCTAATGTGAGAGTGAAAAAGACGGTCAACAATATAATGTACATTTCACAAACATTTTGTGTTTCGATTGAATCCTTTCTGATTGATGTCAATCCAATAATTCAGGATTCAAACCAACATTTGATGATAGGTACAGACGTAGGGGAACAATTATTTGTATAGTATTAATCATGACACTTTTATTTTCTTAGGTTACACTGGAACAACCTCTTCAAGTGACGAGGACAGTGTGGTTGTTGCAAAGTTGCCATCTGGAGACAGTCTTGCTGACACCGTGGTCAGTTTGGATCTATCGTGGCATTTATTCTTAATTAAAGTGAATTTATTTTATTTCAGTCAGTCATTTGTGTGTTGTATGCAGGTGTGGGACTTTCCAAATGAACAGAGCACTCCCAGAATGGACAACAGTTTGCCAGGGTAAAATAAAACATTGTCAACATGTTATTTTGTGCCACAAGAAGCAGAATGTTTTAACAGTACAGTAGTTTGAATATATTTTTTGTTTACCTTTATCAGACCTCTCAGGCACCCACAACCAGCGTCTGATCGGGTAAGACTAATTAAAAATGTAATTATACCATGTAGGTTTGAATTTGTGAACATGAAATCAATAAATACCTTTGTAATGTGTGCTAATGACAGTGTCATTAGATAAACTGCATCATTATTTATTGGGTAAAAGTAGGATGGAGAACCAACCCCATTCCAGGAAGAGGTCCAATCTGCCCCGGGTCAGAACACCTTCTATAGGTAAACGATGTTGACAGTTGCATCGTGACACAGTTGTTTGGTGTGTATTTTTATTTGTACATTTGGTTGTTTGCATAGCCTCCAATCCCAGTGGGTAATATTGCCAGGAAGCAGAACAATTATACTTTCATACATTTCCAAAGGACACCCACAACATCTTAGTGAAGACGATACAAAAAACACCCACAAATATTTTTCAAAGGTCAGATATTGTTTGTTGCATCCATTTCAAATGTTTACAAGGATTGTGCAGGAGTATGACAAAGTGCTGTTGTCAGTTTAGAACCCAATGTATTAAAAAAAACAGGAAGAGGATCGACATCCTTTTGCAAATATGACTGTCATGCATATATTATGTATTTGAAAGTAATTATTCAACTGTCTTCTCACTGCAGCAACTACACAACTGTGTATGCACTTATCATTATTGATAGCCAGTCTGAGCCAGAAGAGGAAACGGAGCAAACTGCAGAGGAAATGTATTAATTGTTACTTTTATCACTTAATTTTGTTATTCTATACTGTAAATCTTATTACTAGCTTCATCATTTAATATTACAATACATCACTTTGTCTTTCCCAGCACAGAATACCTGACTGCGCCAGACATTGTTGCAGAACTCTCTGCAAAAATTAAAAATACCTCTTGCAGCAGGTTTAATATTAATAGAGCCAATGTATGGGATGGAGCAATCCGCGGCTTCAAACGGGCCTCATTCGACCCCTCTCATCAGATGCCGGTTAAGTTTACTGACGATGAGGGACAAACTGAGGATGGAGTGGACACTGGTGGTCCCAAGCGTGAGTTCCTGAATATTTGATGGTCCACAGGACAGGAAATTCCTCAAGTTCGACAATGCAGGTAATGATGTTCGCAAATCTGTCTTATGTTCAATACTGTACTGTAAATATAGGAGCTGCTTATGGATTTTGCAGCTTGATTTACTTGACAATTAAATGATCTTATACTGTATATCTTTATGATAACGTGGCAACTGTTGGTTAACGTGATAATAATTTAACAAAAAATATCAACAGCTGCAAAAGATGACGAATACTTTCATGCTGGGAGGATGATTGCAACTTCTATAGTTCAAAAACACAAGGAGAAAAAGAAGAAAACATGTCATGGCTCACTGTCTCAAAATCTGATTCTAAATGTATAATGTTCTTTATAAAGATATAACTAATACACAATTATGAATGTATAATATAAGCTGTTTTGTGTATTTAATCATGCGTTGGTCTACAATTTAATGATGGCTTCTACATATTTCACATAAACAGACAATGAAAAAATGTGTCCTTCATGCTGATAACTAGTGTATGCATCTGCAATTAGTATTCTAAACAGAGTAGTGTGTTGAATCCTTATTTCTTGCATTTGAAACAGATACAATAAAAAAAAGTGAACTTACTGTTGTGTTCAACTTCTGCCAAAAACTGTACATGTTTGCCACAGGAGCCACAGAACACTTGAACTGTCCCCAGATGCTGGCCACAGAAAGGACACAACATGGCGGCCTGAAAAGACATACATTGATGTAGTAAATCCATGTAATCAAGTCAATCAAAAACACATAGTCTAAATAGTGGTTAGCTAAATAAATAGATACATCATGTTCACCGTTGATCCTTGAATGTCTAATGCACACTACTATCCTGTCATTACTTTGTCCCTCTTCACATTTTGTCACTTTCTCTCTCTCTCTTTCTCTCTCAATTCAATTCAATAGCTTTATTAGCATGACCATAGTTACAGGCAATTGCTAAAGCTCTGTATAGTTGCAACATCTATACACAAATACATAAATATAAACAAACTGCTAAGAATTCAAATGTCCTTTTTCCGCGGTACTCACTATGGCCCGTGTTATTTGCCTGCACTTGATTTGTCTACTCTTTACAATGTTCTTCCCTCACTTTATCTTCTCTTCACATGAAGCTCTCCTCCCTCAGCTGGTGTAGTAGTTAGGCACGCTAACGCTAGCTATATAAATATGACGCTCTATGTATAAAAAAACAAAACTTACCTTCTTATATCTTTCTCCACTTAAATGAACTTTCTTTCCTCTTGTTCGTTCTCTCTATGTCTGGTCATACATCAATCTGTTCCACGTAGCGCGCCCCCTAGAGGCCTGAAGCACTTCCGGAATGTTTTTTTTTTGTAATGTCTTTTTTTTTTGTAATGTGTTTTTCGGTTGTATGTGCTTTTGACTTTGCATATCGTTTTTGTATTTGCAGCGTTTTTCTGTTGCGTTTGTTTTCGGGGTTTGTGTGTTGTAGGTTTAGCTTGCATCATTTCTGTAAATGCAGCGTTTTTCTGTTGTATGTGTTTTCAGGGTTTGTTGGTTTTTCATTTCATTATTTGCAGGTGTTTCCTGCTTATGTGTGTGTTTTTGGCCGTTGTTTAGCGTTTGCACCTGCCGGCCACCGTATAAAAGGGACAAGAACAAGTGTCCAGCCTTTGGAAAGCGCTGCAAAAAATTTGGTAAAGAAAATCATTTTGCTGTCAAATGTAAAACCACACAGGATAAAGACAAGAGAGGAAGACAAGTACACCAAGTGACTGAACAAGACAGTGAGGAATATGAGGACATCTTGAGTGTCACCACTACAGAGATACTGACAGTGACTGGTAAAGAGGCCGGGGAGGACAAAGCCAAGAACAGCCAGATTTTCGCAGGGATGCTAATCGGCAAGGAGCTGGTGAAGTTTCAGATACACTGTGGAGCTAGCTGTAACGTCATCCCTGTGAATCTATTGAGCCCTGAAACTCGACTGGAGAGCACTAAGACAGTGCTGGTAATGTACAACAAGACCAGGCTGCATCCACTAGGCAAATGCAAGGTGAAGGTGAGAAACCCAAGGAACCAAAAACAGTACCGCCTGGAGTTTGAGGTGGTGAATGAGGACTGTAGACTACAACTGTTGGGAAAGAAGGCAAGCGAAGCCATGAAACTCATTAAAGTACAGTATGAGAACATACTAGCTATTGACAGTATTGTCACTGAAGTCAAATCAGCCCACGGTGGTCTACACATGCAACAAATACAGAGGAGTACAGTGATGTGTTCACAGGTGACGGCTGCCTGGAAGGAGAGTACAAGATCGAGATCGACAAGAGGGTGGAGCCGGTGAAACTCCCCAAATGACAAGTCCCGGTTGCCATGATGACTCCTCTCAAGTTAGAGCTGCAGGATCTACAAACGAGAGAGATCATCACACCTGTGGAGAAAAGCACAGACTGGATAAGTAGTCTTGTCACAGTGCAGAAACCTAATGGCAAGCCAAGAATATGTATTGATCCAAGACCACTGAACAAGGCTCTAAAGCGGAGCCATTTCCCACTTCCTACCATTGATGACATCCTTCCAGACCTGTCGAGAGTGAAGGTGTTCACAGTCTGTGATGTCAAACATGGCTTTTGGCATGTGAAATTGGAGGAGGAGTCAAGCTATCTAACAACATTTGCTACACCGTTTGGCAGATTTAGGTGGCTCAAGATGCCTATGGGAATCAGCCCAGCACCTGAGATTTTCCAGCGGATGCTGAATCAAGCACTGGAGGGTCTGCCAGGCATCTACATCATAGCTAATGACGTATTGATCACAGGAGAAGGTGACACACAAGAAATGGCTTTCAAAGACCATGATGATAAATTGAGACAGTTTCTAAGCAGATGCAGAGAAAAGAATATCAAACTGAATGCAGAGAAATTCAGGTTGAGGCAGCAGGAGGTGCCATATATTGGACACCTGCTGACAGCAGATGGACTGAAAATTGACCCAGAGAAGATCGGGGCAGTGAGAGACATGCCAAGACCAAGGGTGTACAGAGACTGATGGGCATGGTAAATTATCTCTCTAAATTCTACAAACACCTGTCAGATGACTGTGAGATTGTGAGACAGCTCACACATAAGGAAAATATGTGGAAATGGACAGAAATGCACGAAGAAGCATTCAGCAGGCTCAAGAACAATATAGCCAAAACACCAGTACTGAAGTATTATGACCCACAAGAGGAACTGACATTGCAGTGTGATGCTTCAGAAACGGGGCTGGGAGCAGCACTGACTCAAAAAGGGAAACCTGTAGCATTCGGGAGCAGAGCACTGACACCAACCGAAAGGGGCTATGCCCAAATAGAAAAAGAATGTTTAGCTATTGTCTATGGCATGGAAAAGTTCCATCAATAAACGTATGGACGGAAAGTGACAGTACAGAGTGACCATAAGCCGTTGGAGAACATTGTCAAGAAGCCACTGTTAAGTGCACCAAAGAGACTCCAACGTATGTTGCTCAGACTTCAGAGATATGATTTTGATGTGATTTATGTCCCAGGTCGTGACATATTACTTGCAGATACATTGAGTAGAGCATACTTACTAGAGAGCTCATCCGCAGGAACAGTGGAAGTTGAGATTGAGACGGTCAATATGGTGGCCTACTTACCTATCTCTGAAGAGAGACTGAGCACAATCCGCTCTGCTACACAAGGAGACAAAACGCTACAGACAGGGATGGCCTAAACATAAGAAAGACACACCGATAGATATTATGCACTACTACTCATTCCAGGAGGAACTGAGTATACAGGATGACATCGTCTTCAGAGGCGAGAGAGCTGTCATCCCATATTCACTACAAAGGGACATCACCCGCCGGATCCATTCCTCTCACCTGGGTGTGGAGGCATACCTCAGGCGTGCGAGAGAATGTGTCTACTGGCCGGGAATGAATGAACAGATAAAAACGTTCATAGTGAAATGTGACATTTGCAGATCAGTTGACACGAAACAACAAAAAGAGACACTACATCCACATGAGGTACCAGGCAGACCATGGACCAAGGTTGGTACAGATTTGTTTACCTTTAACGATAAGAACTACCTCATTACAGTGGACTACTATTCCAACTTTTGGGAAGTTGACTACCTGATACAAAGTCAAGTACTGTAATTAGGAAGCTGAAAGCTCACTTTTCCCGTCAGGGGATTCC